TGCATACTGTTATGAAAAAGCATCGATTTCAATACAATTTTGATGTCATTGATCAGTCATCGAGGTATATAAAAAGTCGCTGCTTGTCAGATTTTATATTGATTTTAATAATTAAAAGTTTTTTGCTAAAGGCTAATTACAATTACTATTAAATGCTCTCGAAATTTCTGTTTTTTTTTTATAGATATATAGCAATTGTCGACAAACTGCAACGCTGTACTTTGTTTTGAATTTGGTCTGAAAATAGTCATAGTTTATGAAAACATGTTGTTGTTAAAATCTGCACAACCTATTAAAACAGTGATTCGCAACTGATTTGATTATTACTTGCCTGTTTTATCTTACGTTCAAGCTATCATCTCTAGGATATACCCCACGCAACGACCTGACGTCGATTACGCAAAATGTAACAGAGCATATCGATACATCACGTATACACGTGTAAGGGTGAGTTCGTTGGGTGTCGCCTGCGGTAATGGAAGTTCGGAATGGAAGGAAGACAATCTATATTTTAGAGGCGAAATTTTTGTATCTTACGAATAGAATCGCAAAACCCTCATGCAGGTTTCAAACACACAAAATCCTATTCCACATACAAATATCATTACCGAACGAACATGATGTGGCCCTTTGTGTTTGATTACAAGACGAAAAATAGGATACTAAGAATTGTATCTAACGGCCATAATAGAACCCGATAGCGGATATCCTACTTTGAACAAGGAATCTGCTTATAGACATCGTTGCGTTATTAGTCACGCAAAGCGTTGCGCTAGTTTCGCGATTGTTCTCTCTCTACGCGCCACGTAATCTGCAATCCGTGTCAACTAACGTGCTATAATATAAATAATGAAAGAGATATTTTCGCTTCAGCTATGTCATGAAAACTCATTATAAGTTCTCTAACCACAATGAAATGCTTATCAAATCCACCTAGTAAAATGAAAAAATATGTCACCGACAGATCAAAATTAGTTTAATTGTATTGTAATTAATTAGTATTATAAGTTTATAGTATTTCAAAGAAACACCGTACCTGATGAAAAAACGAATCGACTTTTTGCAGTACATACTTGAGTGTCACATTCTCCTTAAAGCAAAGCTAATCACTATTGTGCGCGAGACAAAACTAAGTTCTCAACATAGCATTTTTGTTTATAGAATGATTGCATAAATCATGGTGCTCTTAACGCTGTGGAGGAAGTAACCTTACATAAACTTTGCATTGTGTAAAAATGATCGACATATAGAAACATAAAACCAATTCGTGACAAAAGATTTTATCAAATCTCAATTCAAACGAATCCAACAAATCACTGTGTGCTAAACATAATATTTAATCAATGTTGGTTCAACTAAAGCTCTAGTCTATATTAAGTAAAAAATACAGACGGACTATATTTAGGAACTTGGAATGTACTTGTAATGTTAGCTTCACGTAAATCTAATACATAAATTTCAAAACGGAAAATTTAACGTTTGTCGACAGATGTGGTGCACGTTACTCATTTGCTGTGACTGTCTATAGATACTATAAAGTCTGAAAAAATAAAATAAAAACGGATTCGCTGATTATTACAATATTTAAATGGGTACGTATGCTTACGTTCCGTGTTATCTGAAATTGAATAAGTAAGTTTCAATATTCATTATTGATTGAAGGCCGAATTATGATTAATTCACATGATATTTTTGGAAATAGGTCTCATGCCTACAAACAATTATAGAAAGGTTTATGATGATACTTGAGAAAGAAAAATAAGAAATTTATTTATTTCAACCTGGCCAATATTAGGGTATGGTTCGTCTGACCAAGCATTTCATCAAACACTAAGGCACTATTGAAAACTCGTCTGTAAATTTTTTGTGGTGTGCCCCTTTCCCTGGTGCCCCAAGCACGTGCTTATATTGCTTAATGGTTAATCCAGCCCTGGTCATATGACCCCAATCGCCTTTAGGACTACTCCGTATGCTGTAGCACACCGATGCATTGATCCAACAACCAAAATATTCACACTGACTGGTGCTGTTTCTTTGACGCTACCTAGTGTACGCCTCACATATACATACAGTAAGTTGGAGGAACCAGACGTTAATAAGCTCAATGCCGATTTCAAGTTCAAGGATCGCAGAATAATACCATATATTGATTGAAATTAGGGCTATATGTTAATCTTAAAGAAAAAATATTGTGAATTATGCGAAACTTTATAAATTATCATCCCGGTTTTAACAGTGAATTCTCTAACTTTTCAGTTGGAAGAAGAGTGCTGACACTCGTTTCTTGAGCATGGGTAAGTAAGTGATGGAGAAGAAAAGTGATGTAAATATTAGAGTTTATATTTTCTCATGATTGGCAAATAGGAGCGAAGCATTCACAAATTATATGATAAATACCTTCCGTGAATTATGGATAAAAAGTTACGCAAAAAATATCGATACTTTTATAATTTAGTTTTAGGTTATATTGAGTTATACACAAAATAATAGAGTTTTCAATCAAGAATGACAAACTTTTGAAGAATTAGTCGTCAAATATTGTATTTTATCACAAAAACAAATCGTTAAAAGATATTTAATCCATATCTTTATAAATGAGAAATTAACTGTTGCAAGTATTATAATCCTTGGTTAGTGTTGTGTATTTTTGAGATACATATGAAGCACTTATATATATCAGGATTGAGCTGATTTTTGTCACTTAACTTCGTAACACTCATGTGCGAAAAAGAAATTCGGTTTCATATGAATTACTGAACAACATATATAATGCTACGGCAAATGCTTTCATGCTTTCAAAAGAGTTTAATAAGAATTCCCCTCTGAGAGAATTAGATTTACTATCGACTTCCAAGGCATTAAGTTCACTCCCATTGAGATACGTTGTTATTACAGATTTCCGTAGTACTTAATTTATATTTTTAAATTTTGTTTTCCCAATGGCATTGCATGCAGGAAAAAATGGACTGCCAAGTAGCATAATCTCATATAGCATAACATATTCTCATATAACTCCAAAATATGGAACTACACTCCCTAGTTCATGCTCTTTCCTTGTGAAAAGCAAGTTGCAAGAATGAAGAGATAAAATCATTATCATATCACGAACATAGTAACAGCCTTGCTGCCAGTAGCTGCATATCGATACCAAAGCTACTACAGTATTTTCATTATTGTTATGTTGAAGTAAGCTGCCTTTATTATCACTTCTCATCACTTAATTGTCACCGAAAAATCGGTAGGTCATTCAATGGTACACCATCTCTGGTATATATAATTATAGCTTACTATGTCATGAAAATGTTATTTTTCAAAACGTGAAATTACATTATTTACAGTAATAATTCGACAATTAACACTGTGAACGCCCTGAGACCTGGAGACATTACATCACAATGCTTAAATGCATTCAGTTCTTTAATGCTGTTACGCAAATATGTCCGCTTTCAATATAAACATTATTGCATATGTATTATATATTTTAGCATACATAGAAACACTAAAACGTCTGAATTAATCCCCATTGAGAAACGCCTCCGCGTTGTCTTATACTGAACCAATTGGCTGCAAGATGTCATCTTAGCCCGTCACTTATAACGTTTCAACTAAACTTGATCAACTTTTGAATCCGTCCTCTTGAACCGCCTGACAACAGCAAACGGAATTGTCTGAAACAGTACTTTAATGCGCACTAACGTCTGAGTCAAGCGATTATTTAGAAGCGCTCTTCGAAATAAAGGAAGATCGGCAGCGCCAATTGTGTGTGATGATCTATAATAATACTATATTGGATAACGCGTTTGGATTGCCGTCTTTGGTCAAAGCTATCCTAACCCTCTTCGTCATGCTCCGTCAATGCGTAATAACCAGGCATTTTCAGAGACTATTATTTTAAGGTTTACTGAAGCATAATAACGTATAGATAATGTAAGAAAACAAGGGAAAAAAAATATGTATATACATTTTGATGTTGGCATATACCGTGTTTTCCCGAAAATAGGACCTAGGCTGAAAATAAAACCTAGCCTTAATTTTAAAAATTATTCCAATACGAGCCATCCCCTTAAAATAAGACCTTGGCGATAGTGCGAAATTTTGTTTGACCTAGTCGACAGCAAGAAATCTCTTCTGCACGTTTTACATGATTTAATAAACTATGTTTTTTGCCGTTATTTTGAATAAAAGTGTTATTTATAAGTAAATGGATATCAGTTTTCATATTTTGTGTAATTAAAAATCTCGTAACTCCTTCTTTGTAATTTTGTTTTTGATAAATAAGAGACATAACCCCAAAATAAACCCCTGTGCTATTTTTCAAATAATAAGTTGAAAAGACCCTGTTATATTTTTTGGGAAACACGGTATATAGACAATCGTACCTTCACGACCGCCAGGAGCAGTAATAATCCGTGGATCAACCTGAACAGAATAAGTTATTAAAAAACGGTGTTGACAAAACTTCAAAAATGAGTTACAAAAAAATTAAGAGAGTTTTATAATGACTTACAACCGCATTTCGTGGTATGGTATATACCAGAGGTGGGCAAAGTTTTTTGGCCGGGTGCCGAAAATTCGGCTCAACCGTATTATGTGCACCAAGATGGCGCACAACCTGAACCTTAACCTGGTACACATACTATGTTCAAGTTGTGCGCTATCTTGGTGCACATACTACGGTAGCACCAACACTTGTGTCACTTAGACAGGCGGGCCATGTAAGTGGGCCGTAGAAAGTTACATTTTATGGAAAGAATTTAATTACATTGTTGCAAAATCAAAAGGGGAAAACAATAAGCCGAAACTAAGTTTAATCGCAATCTCAACAAATTCTTTCGAATATTTTTTAGATCAAACATCTAAATTCCGTTTTAGTTTGGTTGTGGCAGCATCGGGCGGGCCAGATTGATTTAATCAACGGGCCGGATTTGGCCCGCGAGCCGTACTTTGTCAATGTCTGGTATATACAATAATTTCAACATTCATTTTTAAAATTTTCGAATTTAGTTTGCATTTTTTTCTTTGTTTGCAGCCACAATTCCATCGAACATTTTTCTAAACTTTGCCACAGAATCTCCATAACAAAAAGCAACAGCGGGTATTTCTTCCATTTTCTTTTTCCATTCTAGAAGGCGTGGATATTTGTCAAAATTTAGCTCAGCAAGAAGATATTCGATACCAGCAACGACAGCAAACGCGGAATAATCTAAACAATATTACCATATTGTGAAATGCTATCAACGATTTCATGCAATTCGTTTAACAGTCTCCATTTGAATTAAAATTTTTGTGATGTTTTTCAATCAATATTTGTATTATGTTTTAAAAACAAGAATTAAAAATTACCATTATAATACCTCATTCGAAAGTTTTGACTCAAAACGAATCATAAATGAGGATATTATAACAAAATAAAATATTAATGTGAGCGCACGATAATTATATAAAATTGTATTAGTTGAAGTTTTGTGTTGACTATGATATTGGCTGATTTCGAAATGAGCCGAGTTTAAAATGGTGACAATAATTTAACAACAAACGATCTGCTTGTGCGAAACAATTATATGGCATGTTTTCTATTTCTTTCAATACATGAGAACAATTATGCATAAAGTTTTGTGTATGGACCGAATTCTGATAGCGATTCGGATTTGTGCTCTCATTGAAGTACGTAAATCCGATTTTTGGACAATCCTGAAACGCTTCCGTTTTTATTTCCCCAAGAGTGCCATTTCATATTTTGTCATTTAAAAGTTATAAAAAAAAATAAAATCAAAGTTTCGCACTTTATTTTGGTCCTGGAAATAATATATTTAATGGTGCTGGAAATAGCCATTTTACCTGCAACGGTAATATAATCTGACACCATATATTCTTGTTGTGTAAGTCTTCTTTCTAAACGAATATAGATGTCTTCTATCGCAGGCCATCGTCCAGGAATTGGACCCGTTTCTCCACGAAAAAGAACTCCAACGATATTCTGAAACAGAAAGGGAACATTGAATTCACAGCAAATATGAATCGCTTTTAGCATAACTACATCCCTACTCTAGTGTAGGGCTACTCAACTATTTTTATCGAAGGTCCGCAAACAAAACTTCAAAATTATTTGGGTCCGGTCTTTCCAGGAATGATATTCCGGCGTCCTTAAACGAGCACTTCCTCGACCGACTGATGATTAGTAGTAAATTAAAATTGTTTATTATGGTGTTATAGTTCTTTTGGTATATATTCAAAACTATAAAAGTCATTTTATATTAGGAAATTCAAATAGTGGGGCTAATGATCCAAATAAATAATTAGGTGCGGTCCAAATCCAATACTCGGAAGGTCCGGATTCGGACCGCGGTCCGCCAGTTGAGTAGCCCTGCTCTAGTGTATCTTATGTCCACACATAATTGGTGTTTGGGAACAGTGGATTGAATAGGTGGAAATAATATAAACACATAATGATCATTTTTAGGTAATTACTGAATGTCTAATAAAAAGAAAAGCGTGTAATATCAATAACTTACGAAATATTCCAAAATATTTGTAAAGAACTGGAAATCTTGGAAGAGCGATTCGTTGACTTTGAACTGTGCGTTCAATTCTGTCGGATATAGTTTCTTTTCTTCGTCATTTTTCTCATATTTTGAGCAAAGATAGCAAATGATAGCCCGACTGTAAAAAACCCGTACAAGTTTAACAATAATAACCTTGATTTGAAACAAAAAATTGAAAAATTTCAAATTTCTGCTATAGTTTTTGCAAAAGGTTTAATTTGTCTGAAACATGCTTTTATTTGTGTAAACTTTTGTAGATCCGCCCGGAATAAGAACAAATGTACATGCAAATGAGATCGAATCCTTTCAGTTCAGACCAGTTATGAATTTACGATCGAATTGACTAACAATAATTCCTATCGTAAAATGTTAACACAGTAATACTAAGGCTTTCAAACAACTTCATATAATAACAGAGAACAAAGTAATATCTATCCATTAGTTATTAAATATTAATCCCTGCAATAAATAACAAACACATTTCTCGTAAAACTTTGGTTAATTACTAAATATATAAATATATATAAATTTACCTTTCTCCTAGCCCAAAATTCCCATCAACAATATACGGTACTTTGCCTTCAGGGTTGATTGCTAAATATTCTGGACTTTTTTGATCCTTTTTTCCTAAAAGATCAATGTATTTCTTTTCGTATGGGATTGCAAGGGCTTCTAACACCGACCAAACAACTTTAGCCGGCGGGCTTAGGGGATGCCAATAAAACGTCAATACCATTTTGAATCGAGTCGCTGAAGCGTGCAGTTTTGTTCTTGATGATTTGTGACCAGTCTGAGGAAACCGAGTTGGTTTTATATACAATACGGACAACTACGTCATTCTCTTAATGACGCCATAGTATGACGGTCCTTGTCGCAATCGTTATTCAATGACATAACGAATGGCGTAATATTATTTTAGCGGGAAATACCAGATTTTTTTACGACATCGATGTGAAATACTTTAACGAGCTAATCCACGCCATGTAAATTTGCTACATTCTTCGCTGCAATGTCGCAATGGAAAATCGACAGCCGCGTATGTATGCATAAAAGTATCTATGAGTCTGACGATTGAATACTGTTATTCCAACACTAATTTTGTGTTTAAAAACTATTGAAATATATATAAGCATATATTTTACCAGAGAATATACTTATAATTGTTTCGTGTTAAAAAAATCAGGTCACGTGATCTCAAATTCGGGTCAAAATTTTGCTCCGGATCATTCTAGTTTATTAATATAGTGTCGTTGTCACGAGGAAAACAATCGTCCAAATTTTCATAATTGTAATCGTTTCTATTTTCAACATCGTAAAACAATCAAGAGGTGGCAGTGGATAAACTGCAAGAGCAAGAAACCTCAACCAACCGTTCCAGCATTGGCATTCAGAAGTGTATTTATATTATCATTGGATGAATCTTTAACAGGAGTTAAAGCATAATAATTCTCTATTAGCGTGATAAAAGACAAGGTTTTATTTCGAAAATTTTTTGCTATACCAAGACATTTATATGGTGTGATATACTAACATAAATGTATTCCTGAACGTTTCGTCTAACCGGGGTCAGACTTGTTCAGACAAGCATGTCTGTGCACACAAATAATGTTTATCGATTTGTTGAGTTTGTTCTTAGTATAGAATTACAATTATGGACACTTAAAGAACAAAAGGGAAGTCAAGTTAAAATGTCAATTCATGAAGTAGCCCTGTCGTTTAGTACGGAGCAATTAAAAAAAAATAAAGCAATTATACTCAATTATCCGACCACAGTGTTTGTTAAGTTCATGGTGGGTTCGAGGCTACGATGTCAGACAACTGTCGACCAAGCATAATTGAACTTTGAAAATAAGTAAAGAGCAATTATTAAACGCATAAATCATACATAACGTTTAAACTAGTAAATAATTCGAAAATTCATTGCCAGGATTGCTATGATCCAAATTTGTGAATAAAAAGTTGTTGGTTATTTTAGTTTGTCCACATGCTTGGCTTTGAGAATTGTTTCTCAAAATCGGAAAGTCGTTCATTAAATGGCTTAGTTGACCGAAGTCCTCTTTTTCTTGATGCTCCCGGTACGTTTCGTTATTTGATATTTTGTGTCAGCCTGTTTTGCCAATATATTGCATCACGCACATTTTATACTGAATATTCAAATAAGTAAAATTTCCAAAGTAGCATGATTTTCTTTGATTGGTGTTTAGTTGAACTTCCGTGACTTTGTCAGCGCTCGTTTATGTTTCCTCGAATATTTGTTGGTTAATGGTTTAGGTATTTCAGTTTTCAATCTTGCTCTAACTAGTTTGTCACACTGTCTAATATCAATAAGATTTTTTCAAAATGTGAAAAAATGTGAATGAATGTTTATTGGCCCTCATTCAAGTTGTAACTATTGTTGCTATTTCAGTGCTCGCTCTTAATCGAAGACATGCACGAGATTCATCAGTGCCAAGAATATTTATGTCATCGGCAAACAATTTGGAAATAATGAAAGACAATGTATTATATCGTGAATACCAAAAAGACCCCAAGCAAGATTCACGTAGAAACCGCCAGTGAGTAGTTGGCATGGCCGGTTCATGCCTTTCAGAGCTCCTAAGCACTTCCGATTCTGGTGCCCTCTATATATGGAAAATACTAATAAAGAACAGGTGATTTATATGTTATCTGAATTTGAATAGAAAATATTAGTATTCAATAGTAATTTATTTAGGGGCAAATAACGATTATTTTGCATGATTTTTGTGGGGAAAAACTTATGTGCTGCAGCCAGCCGCGATGATTTTTCTATTTTCTTTTACATTCAATCTTACTTTTTTGCCTCGAGACCTTGCTAATTTCTATTTTCACTCTATGTGTCTTTATTACAACGCTAGCTTTATCTTTATTTTTATTTTTTCCCTGGTTTATTCTCACTACTAACGGCTTGATGCTGCCGCCAGCCTGGATTTTCATATTTTATTTTATTTCATCTCAATTTCCCCTTGGGTCTTTATCTTTATTGTATATTTTCCTTATCTGCGAAATGACCTGGGCATCGCTGATTTTTTTTTTTTCTATTCTCATTCCCGTATTAATTTTCATTGTCTCGTTGCTGATTTTACGTCTTTTTTTTCTTGACTGCTTGATTTCCCTACAAACTCTTTCTTGTCCGCTTCAGCCAGTCTCGATCGATGACTGTATTCATTTTTTTAATTCCATTCACATTTTTCTATTTTCCATCATAATTTTTTATCTTAGCGCCTAATTAATTTCTTTCTGCTTGCGGATTGTATTCTTTTTTTATTCATATTTTACTTTTCTTTCACATCTCAATTTTTTCCTTGAGGTGCTCTTTTTTCGAATTTCAATTTTCCTATTCACTCAACATTTTCTTGAGTTTTTTCATTGCACGCGCTGGTCACTCACTGGCTGCTCCGGCCAGTCTTGTTGATTACAACTATAATTTGTATTTAACTCTCACTCGTATTCCTCACTGACAAGGGTCCTCTTAATTAACGACGTCACGCTTGGCAGCTCACGACGAGAATAATTACCCCCCAAAAATTACAATGAACATACTTCGTTGATTTAAAGCAGGTGTAATTATGCCTCAATAGAAGACGTTCAACTGGGACTATTACGTGCGATGCTTTAACTACTTAATTGTTCATTTTAGTTTATTTTTCACGAGAAAATTATGCAATCATTGGGACAAGATACATGAGATTATTCAAAGGTGTGAGTCTGCAAACCAAATTTCTGACTGTCAGTGGATTCAGTTATCAATAAGTTTTTTCATTATTAACCGATGTTTATTTATAGTATATTGTTCCTAATCCGATTTGTAACTTTTGTTGTTATTTCAGTACTCGCTCTTAATCGAAGACCTGCACGAGATTCATTACTTTCATTGAAACGAAGCATTTACAAATTATATAATGAATACCTTCCATGAATTATGGTAAAAACTCACGCAAAAAATATCAATACTTTATGATTTATTTTTAAGTTTTAATGAGCCAATCACAAAATAATAGAGTTTACAATATAGTAGATATCAGGGATGACGAACTTTGTATGAAGAATAAGTCAAAAATTTTATTTTTATCACGAAAAAAAATCGGTAAAAGTTATTTAATTCATATCTTCATAAACGAGAAACATATTGTTGCATTTTCCCACAAGTATTATAATCCTTGGTTAGTGTTGTGTAATTTCGAGATACATATGGAGCACATATATATATCGGGATTGAGCTGATTTTTGTCACTTGACTTCGTAACACTCATGTGCGAAAACACGAATTCGGATTCATATGAATTACTGAACAACATATATATTGCTACGGCAAATGCTTTCATGCTTTCGAAAGAGTTTAATAGGAATTCCCATCTGAGAGAATTAGATTTACTATCGACCTCCGAGGCATTAAGTTCACTCCCATTGAAATACGTTGTTATTTTTAGATTTCCGTAGTACTTAATTTAAATTTTTTTATTTTGTTTTCCCAATGACATTGCATGCAAAAAATAAATAGACTGCTAAGTAGCATACAGTTCTCGTATAACTCCAAAATATGGTACTACACTCCCTAGTTCATGCTCTTTTGCTGTGAAAAGAAAGTTGCAAGAAATGAAGAGATAAAATCATTATCATATTACAAACATAATAACAGCCTTGCTGCCAGTAGCTACATATCGATACCGAAGCTACTATAGTAGTTTGATTATTGTTATGTTGAAGTAAGCTGCCTTTATTACCACTTCTCATCAGTTAATTGTCACCGAAAAATAGGTGGGTTACTTCACGACCCGCTGACCAATGATACGTCATCTTTGGTAATTTGGAAAAACTCAGAAATATAATTACCATGCAACCATGTTTACAGTAATAATTCACCAATTTACACTGCGAACGCCCTAAGACATTGAGATATTACACCACAATGAATGCATGAATTCAGTTCATTAATGCTGTTACGCGCATATGGCGGTTCCCATTATAACATTATTGCAGATGTACTTACTATATACTTTAAAATACATAGAAACAGCATGCATGATCTATAATGCTATGTTGGATAACGCGTTGGGATTACCGTCTTTGGTTCAAAGCTATCTCAACCCTCCTCGCCATGCTTCGTCAATGCGTGACAACCAGGCATTTGCAGAGCCTGTTATTTCAAGGTTTACTGAAGCATAATGGCATATATGTAATGCAACAAAATGAGAGAAAAAAATATATGTATACATTTGGATGCTAGCTTATATATGGACAATCGTGCAATCACGACCGCAAGAAGCAGTAATAGTATGTGAATCAACCTGAATACAAAAAGTTATATAAAACGGGTCAAAAAAACATCAAAAAAGTCAATAATTAGTTACAAAAAAAGTAAGTTTAGTAGTATGACATATCCATATAGTGTTTCCAACAAATATCATTCTTCAAAAATCAATCAATTTTTGTTTGTATTTTTCTCTTTGTTTGCAGCCACAATTTCATCGAACTTTTCTTTAAACTTTGCCACAGAATCTCCATAACAAAAATCAACGGCGGGTATATCTTCCATTTTCTTTTTCCATTCTAGGAGGCGTGGATATTTGTCAAAGTCCAGTTCAGGAAGAATAATTTCGATACCAGCAACGACAGCAAACGCGGAATAATCTAAAAAATTTCACCATATTGTAACATGCTATCAACAATTCCCTGCAATTTGTTTACCCTGTTTCAGTGCACTTCAGATATTTGTGACGTTTTCAACCAATATTTGTATCGTGTTTCAAATGCAAGAATTGTCTATTACCAATAAAATAACACTTTCGATAGTTTTTACGTAAAACTAATCTTGATTGAGAATATCACAACAAATAAATTAGTAATGTGCGCGTAGAATAATTATATAAAATGTTATAATTTGAAGTTGTGTGTTGGCTGTGAACAACAAACGTTCTGCTAGTGGGGAAAGATGTATGACATATTTTCTATTTTATCGATACATGAGATTATGCATAAAGTTGTGTGTCTGGGCCGAATTCTGATAGCATCTCCAATTAGGCTCTAATCGAAGTATATAAATCCGATTCGTACAATTCTGTAACACTCCCGTTTTTGATGCCCCAGGAGGTCCAGCCCAGTTTGGGATCAACTCCAACTGCTAAACACAATTTTTAATACATATTGCCTACGAAATCCTTTTATATTTTGTCAGTATAAAGTTTAAAAAAAAAATAATTCAAATTGCGAAATTTATTCTGGTCTTCCAAATAATAAATTCAATAAATTAATCGTGCTGATAACAGCCATTTTACCTGCAACGGTAATATAATCTGAAGCCATATATTCTTGATGTGTAAGTCTTCTTTCTAACCGGTTATAGTTGTCTTCTAACGCAGGCCATCGTTCAGGAATTGGACCAGTTTCTCCACGATAAAGAACTCCAAGGATATTCTAAAACAAAAACACACTATTGCATTCACAGCAACTATGAATTGCTTTTAGCAGAGCGACCCTTTACTCGAGTGTATCGTACGTTCGCACATAATTGGTGTTCAGCAACAGACGTATGCAGCAACAAAAGCAATAAAGTAATAAACTAAATTTACCAAAACAACGAATTCTGTTTAGTTTCAATTGATTGAATAAATAAATTAAAATCAATATATAATCACCATTTTGAGATTATAATGAATGTCTATAAAAAGGAAAGGGTGTAATATTCGAAAACTTACGGAATATTCTAAAATATTTGTGAAGTACTGAAAATCGTGGAAGAGCGATTCGTTGACTTTGGACCGAGCTTTCAATTCGGTCGGATATAGTTTCTTTTCCTTGTCATTTTCCTCATATTTTGAGCAAAGATAGCAAATGATAGCCCGACTGTAAAAAAACGATTTAGTTTCACAATAATAACCGTGATTTGAAACGAAAAATTGAAAATTTTCCAGTTTAAACTATATAGTTTTTGCAAAAGATTTAACTTGCCTGCAATAGATTATTATTTATGTAATTTTTCGTAGATCCATCCGGAATAAAAACATATACAGACAAATGAGTTGTATATGCTGGAATCTTTTCATTTCAGATGTCTACAGGTTAGGAAATTTCCGATCGAATTGACTGACAGTGATTTTTATCGTAGAATGTTAACACATTAATACCAAGGCATGAAAACAACTTCATATAATAACGCTTACAAATTAATACTGCCACCTACCTATCCAATAGGTCTTATGTCCTAATCCCTGCAATAAATACTTTCGTTAATTACGATATATATACAATGAAATTTACCTTTCCCCCAAATTAAAATTCCCATCAACGATATACGGTACTTTGCCTTCTGGGTTGATTGCTAGATATTCTGGACTTTTGTGATCCTTTTTGCCTATCAGATCAATAAATCTCTTTTCGTACGGGATTGCAAGGGCTTCTAATACTGACCATACAACTTTAGCCGGCCCGCTTGCGGGATGCCAATAAAACGTCAATACCATTTTGAATTGAGTCGCTGAAGCGTGCAGTTTTGTTCGTGAGAATTTGTGACCAGTCTGAAGAAACCGAGTCGGTTTTATATACAATACGGACAAAGACGTCATTCTCTTAATGACGCCATAGTATGATGGTCCTTGTCGCAATCGTTATTCAATAACATAACGAATGGTGTAATATTATTTTAGTGGGGAATACCAGATGTATGGTGGCCCATCGTTGTCACGCGTAAAATTGAAAATAAAAATAAAAAATAAAATAAAAAACCGATAATAAAAAAAATTTTTGTAAAAAAATATAAAAATAATTAAAAAAAAAATGAAAAAAAAAATTAAAATTAAAAAAAAATTAATAAATAAAAACTGAAAAAAAAAAAAATTAAAAAAAAAAAAAAATTAAAAAAAAAATTGAATAAAAAGAAAATAAAAAAGGTTGACAACGATGGTCCGCCTCGTGGCCCATCGTTGTCACGCGTTTTTATTTTCAGAAAATTTGCTTCTGCTTGGGACCAACGTTGTCAGGCATAATCCTACGCGCACAAATGTGTTCCCTGGGTTTCAAACTCACTACTGATTTTCTTGAGCAATATTCAATATGAAAATGTTCTATAAATTCTCCATGCTACAAGTTTAACAAGAAGTAATATATTTATAATAATGGTAAGAGAATATAGAATTGAATACGAAAATTCGGAAAAATTGTTTTCTACGTGTATAAGGTAATTTAATTGGAGAATGCTGCTTAACTACTCAGTTGTCTGGACACTCGCGATGCCGGTACCGTACCGTCTTACCAAATACCGGTAGTCGGTTATAGTCGCTTTGCGTCTGACCGTACCGGTAGCCATACAATCACTCATCATCTCCCATTCTTTCACGAGTGATTGCATGGGTACCGGTACGGTCAGACGATACCGTACCGGCATCGCACGAGTGTCTGAGCAGTTAAGCAGCATTTTCCAATTAAATTACCTTCTACACGTAAAAACAAATTTTCGTATCCAATTCTGTATTCTCTTATTCTTATTATAAATATATTGCTTGTGGTTGAACTTGTAGCATGGAGAATTTGTAGAACATTTTCATGTTGAATTTATTGGATATTGCTCATGAAAATCAGTAGTGAGTTAGAAACCCAGGAAACACATTTGTGCGTGTAGGATTAAGTCTGACAACGTTGGTCCCAAGCAGCATCAAATTTTCCAAAAATAAAAACGCGTGACAACGATGGGCAACGAGGCGGACCATCGTTGTCAACCTTTTTATTTTCTTTTTATCCAATTTTTTTTTCAAATTTTTTTTTTTTTAATTTTTTTTTTAATTTTAATTTTTTTTTAATTTTTTGTTTTGTTTTATTTTTCAATTTTTTTTTTAATTTAAATTTTTTTTATTTCTTTTTTTTCAATTATTTTTATGTTTTTTCACAACTATTTTTTAATTTTCGCTTTTTCATTTTATTGTTTCATTTTTTTTTTAAATTTTACACGTGACAACGATGGGCCACCATACAGATGTTTTTACAACATCGATGTCAAATACTTCGACGAGCAAATCCATCCCTTGTTAATTTGCTTTATATTTCGCTGCAATGTCGCAATAGAAAATCTACAGCCGCGTGTGTAAGCACAGAAGCATGTGTAAGACTGAAGATTGAATATTATTATTTAAATAACAATTTCGTTTTAAAAACTATTGAAATATATATAAGCATATATTTTACTAGAGAATATACTTATAATTGGTTTCGTGTTAAAAAAAATTCCTCAGATCAGGTCACGTGATCTCAAATCTGGGTCAAAATTTTGCACCGGGTCATTCTAGTTTAATAATATAGTGTCGTTGTCACGAGGAAAACAATTGTCAAAATTTTCATGATTGTAATCGTTCCTCTTTTCAACATCGTAAAACAATCAAAAAGTGGCAGTGGAGAGCAAAATTGCAGAAGCAAGCAACTAGTTCTTCCAAATACCTTCACTCTTGTTTTCCCCTTAATCATCCCTTCCAGCATTTGCATTAAGAAGTCTATATATATCATTATTGAATGAATCCTTAAAGGAGACGAAAGATCAGTAATCCTCTATTAGAGTGATAAAAGAAAAAGTAGGGGAAATTATAAAAGCCAAGATTTCATTTCGGAAAAATTTCGCTACACAAGATATTTATATGATGTGATTTTCAAATTCATTAACATGAATGTATTCCTGAACGTTTCGTCTGACCCGGGTCAGACTTGTTCAAACAAGCATAACTCACAAAAATTTGTATGCACTTAAATAATAGTTATCAAGTTGGTGGTTAGTTCTCAGTAGAGTATTTAAAGTATGGGCACTTAAAGAACAAAAAGAAAGGTAAATGCCAATCAATGAAGTGGTCCTTTTAGTGGGGAACAATTAAAAAAAAGGATTAAACAATTACACGGTATTCTCCTACAACAGTATTCGTTAAATTCGTGCTGGGTTCGAGGCTACATTGTCGGAAAACTGTCGATCAAGCATAATTGAACTTTGAAATCATATATAACTTTCAAACTAATAAAAGAAAATATCGATCGGAGACCGAAGACTTATCGATCGAAACTGCGAAACTAAATATACGACATAGTTCATTCAAAATCAATAGGCTTCTGGCCCGAGATATGATGAATGCACATGCAAATTTGGAGCAGATTCAACCACGCTTTCGTGAGATATCGCGTGCATCTAACAGACAGACAGACAAACATACAGACAGACAAACAGACAAATACCTATCAACATACTTACCGATCTAAAGATCGATAAGTAATAAATAAATAAAATCGCAATTTCATTGCTATGGTTCCTGTGATACAAATTTGAGAATAAACGTTTTTTTTAGTTGGTGGGCATGCCAAAAAGTCATTTATGGAATGGCCTGGTTTCTTGATGCTCCCGATACGTTCTTTTATTTGATATTTTGAATGTTTCCTGTTTTGCCAGTATATTATTGTATCGAACTCCCGTGACTTCGTTAGTAGTGCTCGTTTATTTACAGGTGACGCATTAAATTCTGTTGCATGTTGTTACTTCATTACGTATTTTTGTTTTCAATCTTGCTCAACTAGTCTGTGTCACGCTATCTAATATGAATAGAATCTCCCCGATTCCTTTTTGGCTGCCGGCTCCTCCTTTTCTTTCTTCGACCCGCGCGCAGACCATGCTGCGACCAAAACCTGCCTGTGTTGTTGTTGTTGGGTACCTTTCCCGTCTCTCGATTGCTCCCCGATTCCTTTTTGGCTGCCGGCTCCTCCTTTTCTGCTCTTGACAGCCCTGAAATCGTTGGAACGCCTGAATTCGAGATCCTTTTCCTCCCTTGACCACATCATGTATTTTTTTTTAACCTACCATGCGACGGACAAACCATGTGACGGACACTCTCGCTTGCTCCCCGATGGATTTCTTCCTGGCTTCCCGCCTCTCTTACGACTTTTCTTCCTCCTTCGGCAGCCCTGATCGCTGGAACGCATGAATGCGACACTCGCTCGCTCCCTGATTCTTCTTCCTGGCTTACGTTTTTGCTCGTTTTCCTCTTGACCGCCCTGAACGATCTGATTCGCTGGAACTCGCTCCCCGATTCTTCCTGGCTTACGACTCTTTTGCCCGGTTTCCCTCCTCCGACCGCTCCGATCGCTGACTGGATCTCCCGAGATCCTTTTCCTCCTTTGACTCTGATGAACGATCTGCTGCTGCTGCTGCCTCTCGCGCTTGCTCTCTCCTTTCCCTGAATTGCAATGCATGTTATCTTTATTTGTCTGCTGAACCTTCCCTACAACTACAGTCTACATGGACTTGGTCTCTGACTGCCTATTACGTCCCCGCCGTTCTCCCTAGTCATGCTCTTTCGTTGTGAAAAGCAAGTTGCAAGAAATAAAGAAATAAAATCATTATCATATCACGAACATAGTAACAGCCTTGCTGCCAGTAGCTGCATATCGATATCAAAGCTACCACAGTAGTTTAATTATTTTTATGTTGAAGTAAGCTGCCTTTATTACCACTTCTCATCAGTTAATTGTCACCGAAAAATAGATGGGTCATTTCATGACCCGCTGGCCAATGATACGACATTTCTGGTAATTATAGCTTGCTTACTAAGAAATATAATTACCAGGTAACCATGTTTACAGTAATAATTCACCAATTTACACTGCGAACGCCCTAAGACATTGAGATATTACTCCACAATGAATGCATGAATTCAGTTCATTAATGCTGTTACGCGCATATGGCTGTTCCCATTATAACATTATTGCAGATGTACTTACTATATACTTTAAAATACATAGAAACAGCATGCATGATCTATAATGCTATGTTGGATAACGCGTTGGGATTACCGTCTTTGGTTCAAAGCTATCTTAACCCTCTTCGCCATGCTTCGTCAATGCGTAATAACCAGGCATTTGCAAAGCCTGTTATTTCAAGGTTTACTGAAGCATAATGGCATATATGTAATGCAACAAAATGAGAGAAAAAAATATGTACATACATTTGGATGCTAGCTTATATATATGGACAATCGTGCAATCACGACCGCAAAAAGCAGTAATAGTTTGTGAATCAACCTGAATACAATAAGTTATATGAAACGGGTCGAAAAAACATCAAAAAAGTCAATAATTAATTACAAAAAAAGTAAGAGTTTAGTAGTATGGCATATCCATATAGTGTTTCCAACAAATATCATTCTTCAAAAACCAATCAATTTTTGTTTGCATTTTTCTCTGTGTTTGCAGCCACAATTTCATCGAACAATTCTTTGAACTTTGCCTCAGAATCTCCATAACAAAAATCAACGGCGGGCATATCTTCCATTTTTTTTTTCCATTCTAGAAGGCGTGGATATTTGTCAAAGTCCAGTTCAGGAAGATGAATTTCGATACCAGCAACGACAGCAAACGCGGAATAATCTAAACAATTTCACCATATTGTAACATGCTATCAACAATTCCCTGCAATTTGTTTACTCTGTTTCAGGGCACTTCAGATATTTGTGACGTTTTTTAACCAATATTTGTATCGTGTTTTAAATGCAAGAATTGTCTATTACCAATAAAATAACACATTCGATAGTTTTTACGTTAAACTAATCCTGATTGAGAATATTATATTATATATTATAACAAATAAATTAGTAATGTGCGCGTAGAATAATTATATAAAATGTTATATTTTGAAGTTGTGTGTTGGCTCCGATCTTGGGCTGGGCTCAAAATGAGTTGAGTTTGAAAAACGACAAAAAGAGATAAAATTTACGAGTTAACATCAAACGTTCTGCGAGTGGGGAATGATTTATGACATATTTTCTATTTTATTCGATACATGAGATTATGCATAAATTTGTGTGTCTGGACCGAATTCTGATAGCATCTCTAATTGGGGGGCTCTAATCGAATTATATAAATCCGATTCGTACAATTCTGTAACACTCCCGTTTTTGATTCCCCAGGAGCTCCAGCCCAGTTTGGGATCAACTCCAACTGCTAAATACAATTTTTAATTCATATTGCCTAAGAAATCCTTTTATATTTTGTCAGTATAAAATTATAAAAAAGAAATAATTCAAATTGCGAAATTTATACTGGTCTTCCAAATAATAAATTCAATAAATTAATCATGCTGATAACAGCCATTTTACCTGCAACGGTAATATAATCTGAAGCCATATATTCTTGTTGTGTAAGTCTTCTTTCTAAACGATTATAGTTGTCTTCTAACGCAGGCCATCGTTCAGGAATTGGACCAGTTTCTCCACGATAAAGAACTCCAAGGATATTCTAAAACAAAAACACACTATTGCATTCACAGCAACTATGAATTGCTGTTTGCATAGCGACCCCCTATTTTGAATATAATGAATGTCTTATAAAAAGAAAAGCGTGTAATATTCGAAAACTTACGGAATATTCTAAAAGATTTGTGAAGTACTGAAAATCTTGGAAGAGCGATTCGTTGACTTTGGACCGAGCTTTCAATTCGGTCGGATATAGTTTCTTTTCCTTGTCATTTTCCTCATATTTTGAGCAAAGATAGCAAATGATAGCCCGACTGTAAAAAACAATTTAGTTTCACAATAATAACCGTGATTTGAAACGAAAAATTGAAAGTTTTTCAGTTTAAACTATATTGTTTTTGCAAAAGGTTTAACTTGCCTGCAATAGGCTATCATTTATGTAATATTTCGTAGATCCACCCGGAATAAAAACATATACAGGCAAATGAGTTGTTTTAGCTGATATCTTTTCATTTCAGATGTCTACGAATTACGAATTTACGACCGAGTTGACTGACAGTGATTTGTATCGTAGAATGTTGCAGTAATACAGGCATGAAAACAACACAAACATGAGAACAACTTCATATATTAACGCTTACAAATTAATACTGCCACCTACCCAACAGGTCTTATGTCTTAATTCCTGCAATAAATACTTTGGTTCATTACATTAATATATATACTGTATATATAATGAAATTTACCTTTCCCCCAAATTAAAATTCCCATCAACAATATACGGTACTTTGCCTTCTGGGTTGATTGCTAGATATTCTGGACTTTTGTGATCCTTTTTGCCTATCAGATCAATAAATCTCTTTTCGTACGGGATTGCAAGGGCTTCTAATACTGACCATACAACTTAAGCCGGCCCGCTTGCGGGATGCCAATAAAACGTCAATACCATTTTGAATTGAGTCGCTGAAGCGTGCAGTTTTGTTCGTGAGAATTTGTGACCAGTCTGAAGAAACCGAGTCGGTTTTATATACAATACGGACAAAGACGTCATTCTCTTAATGACGCCATAGTATGATGGTCCTTGTCGCAATCGTTATTCAATGACATAACGAATGGCGTAATATTATTTTAGTGGGGAAAACCAGATTTTTTTACAACATCGATGTCAAATACCTCGACGAGCAAATCCATCCCTTGTTAATTTGCTTTATATTTCGCTGCAATGTCGCAATAGAAAATCTACAGCCGCGTGTGTAAGCACAGAAGTCTGATGATTGAATATTGTTATTCAAATAACAATTTTGTGTTTAAAAACTATTGAAATATATAAAAACATATATTTTACTAGAGAATATACTTATAATTGGTTTCGTGTTGAAAAAGTTCCTTAGATCAGGTCACGTGATCTCAAATCTGGGTCAAAATTTTGCACCGAGTCATTCTAGTTTAATAATATAGTGTCGTTGTCACGAGGAAAACAATTGTCAAAATTTTCATGATTGTAATCGTTCCTCTTTTCAACATCGTAAAACAATCAAAAAATGGCAAGGGAGAGCAAAATTGCAGAAGCAAGCAACTAGTTCTTCCAAATAACTTCACTCTAGTTTTCCCCTTAACCATCCCTTCCAGCATTGGCATTCAGAAGTCTATATATATCATTATTAAATGAATCCTTAAGAGGCGAAAGATCAGTAATCCTCTATTAGAGTGATAAAAGAAAAGTGAGGGAAATTATAAAAGCCAAGATTTCATTTCGGAAAAATTTCGCTACACAAGATATTTATATGATGTGATTTTCAAATTCACTAACATGAATGTATTCCTGAACGTTTCGTCTGACCCGGGTCAGACTTGTTCAGACAAGCATGCCTCGCAAAAATTTGTATGCACTTAAATAATAGTTATCAAGTTGGTGGTTAGTTCTCAGTAGAGTATTCAAAGTATGGACACTTAAAGAACAAAGGAAAGGTAAATGCCAATCAATGAAGTGGACCTTTGAGTGGGGAACAATTAAAAAAAAGGATTAAAACAATTACACGGTATTCTCCTACCACAGTATTTGTTAAATTCGTGCTGGGTTCGAGGCTACATCGTCGGAAAACTGTCGATCAATCATAATTGAACTTTGAAATCATATATAACTTCCAAACTAATAAAAGAGAATATCGGTCGGAGACCGAAGACTTATCGATCGAAACTGCGAAACTAAATATACGACATAATTCATTCAAAATCAATAGGCTTCTGGCCCGAGATATGATGAATGCACATGCAAATTTGGAGCAGATTCAACCTCGCATTCGTGAGATATCGCGTGCATCTAACAGACAGACAGACAGACAGACAGACAGACAGACAGACAGACAGACAAACAGACAAATACCTATCAACATACTTACCGATCTAAAGATCGATAAGTAATAAATAAATAAAATCGCAATTTCATTGCTATAGTTCCTGTGATACAAATTTGAGAATAAAGTTTTTTTTTAGTTGGTGGGCATGCCAAAAAGTCATTTATGGAATGGCCTGGTTTCTTGATGCTCCTGATACGTTCTTTTATTTGATATTTTGAATGTTTCCTGTTTTGCCAGTATATTATTGTATCGAACTCCCGTGACCGAGTTAGTAGTGCTCGTTTATTTACAGGTGACGCATTAAATTCTGTTGCATGCTGTTACTTCATTACGTATTTTTGTTTTCAATCTTGCTAAACTAGTCTGTGTCACGCCATCTAATATAAATAGATTTTTTTACCCTCGACCACCGCGTGCAGACCATCAAACCGTCTCTCGCTTGCTCCCCGATTCCTTTTTCCTTAGACCCGCGACAAACCTGTCTGTCTGTACCTTTCCCGGCAGTTCCTCCTTTTCTTCCCTCGACCCGCGTGCAGACACGACCATGCTGCGACCAAAACCTGTCTGTGCAAACCTGCGACAAACCTGTCTGTCTCTCGCTTTCTCCCCGATTCCTTTTTTTCCCTCGACCCGATGATTCATTTTTGGCTGCCGGCTCCTCCTTTTCTTCCCTCGACCCGCGTGCTGTTGTGGTGTACCTTTCCCGTCTCTCGGATTGCTTCCCCGATTCCTTTTTGGCTGCTGGCTCCTCTTTTTCTGCCCTTGACAGCCCTGAAACCGCTGCAACGCTTGCTCCCTGATGGATTTCATCCTGGCTTCCCGCCTCCCTTGCGACTTTTCTTCCTCCTTTGGCCGCCCTGATCGCTGGAACGCATGAATGCGACGACACTCGGTCCCTGATCCTTCCTGGCTTTTTGCCGGCCTTATATGCTCGTTTTCCTCCCTTGACCGCCCTGAACAATCTGATTAGACTTGAATCTGATTAGACTTGATGAACGATCTGCTTTGCTGCAACGCTTGCTCCCTGATGGATTTCATCCTGGCTTCCCGCCTCCCTTGCGACTTTTCTTCCTCCTTTGGCCGCCCTGATCGCTGGAACGCATGAATGCGACGACACTCGGTCCCTGATCCTTCCTGGCTTTTTGCCGGCCATATATGCTCGTTTTCCTCCCTTGACCGCCCTGAACAATCTGATTAGACTTGAATATGATTAGACTTGATGAACTCTTTGAATGCTTTGCTGGAACTCGCTTCCCGATTCTTTCTGGTTTACGGCCTCTTTTGCTCGTTTTTCTCCTCCGATCGCTCCTGGATTCTTCCTGGTTTACGGCCTCTTTTGCTCGTTTTCCTCCTCCGACCGCCCTGATCGCTGGATCTCCCGAGATCCTTTCCCCCCCCTTGACTCTGTTGAACGATCTGCTGCTGCCTCTCTCGCTTGCTCGCTCCTTTTCCTCCCTGAATTGCATGCATTTGTCCGCTAGACCTTCCCTACAACTACAGTCTACATGGACTGATCTCTGACTGCCTATGGTTACGTTCCCACCGTCACCTAGCTGCCTCTCTTGCTTCTCATCGGCTCCTTTTCTCCTTTCCTCCTAGTTTTTCTGTGCCAATTGACGAAAAAAGTTGTTTATTAAATGGTTAAATTGCTTGGTTGGCAAAATTCCTCTTTTTCTTGGTGTTCCGTATATACGTTCCGCTATTGAATATTTCGTGTTCGGCTATTTTGTCAATATTATGCATTCCCCACCTTTTGCTGATTATTCAAATAGGTAAAATTTTCAGAGTTGCATGATATTCATTGATTGATGTTTAGTTGAACTCCGATGACGTTACCAGTGCTTGTTTTTGTTTCCTCGGAATATTTATAGGTGGCGCATAATTTTCTCTTAAATTTATAAAAGCGTGGTTGTACTTCATCAGCTATTTTCGTTATCAATCTTTAACTAATCTGCCTCTAATCTGTTCTGTTGTTTCCAGTACTCGCTCTTAATCGAAGACCTGCACGAGATTCATTACTTTCATTGAAACAAAGCATTTACAAATTATATATTAAATACCTCCCATGAATTATGGTAAAAACTTACGCAAAAAATATCAATACTTCTATGATTTATTTTTAAGTTTTAATGAGCCAATCACAATATAATGTTGTTTTCAATATAGTAGATATCAGGGATGACGAACTTTGTATGAAGAATGAGTCAAAAAAAAATTTTTTATCACGAAAAAAAATCGGTGAAAGATATTTAATTCATATCTTCATAAACGAGAAACATAGTGTTGCTTTTTCCACAAGTAATATAATCCTTGGTTAGTGTGGTGTAATTTCGAGGTACATATGGAGCACATATAGAGAGAGCACTTATATATATCGGGATTGAGCTGATTTTTGTCACTTAAATTTGTAACACTCATGTGCGAAAACACGAATTCGGATTCATATGAATTACTGAAAAACATATATATATATATATAATGCGACGGCAAATGCTTTCATGCTTTCAAAAGAGTTTATGAAGTACTCCCCTCTGAATAAATCATATTTAATATCGACTTCCAAGGCATTAAGTTCACTCCCATTAAGATACGTTGTTATTTCAGATTTCCGTAGTACTTGATTTAAATTTTTATATTTTGTTTTCCCAATGGCATTGCATGCAAGAATAAAATGGACTGCTAAGTAGCCTACAGTTTTCGTATGACTGCAAAATATGGAACCACTCTCCCTAGTTCATGCTCTTTCGTTGTGAAAAGAAAGTTGCAAGGAATGAAGAAATAAAATCATTATCATATCACGAACATAGTAACAGCCTTGCTGCCAGTAGCTGCATACCGCTACCAAAGCTACCACAGTAGATTAATTGTTTTTATGTTGAAGTAAGCTTCCTTTATTACCACTTCTCATCAGTTAACTGTCACCGAAAAATAGGTGGGTCATTTCATGACCCGCTGGCCAATGATACGACATTTCTGGTAATTATAGCTTGCTTACTAAGAAATATAATTACTAGGTAACCATGTTTACAGTAATAATTCACCAATTTACACTGCGAACGCCCTAAGACATTGGGACAGTACAACACTGAACACAATGAATAAATGAATTTAGTTCATTAATGCTGTTACGCGCATATGTCTGTTCCCATTATAAACATTATTGCAGATGTACTTACTATATACTTTAAATTACATGGAAACAGCATGCATGATCTATAATGCTATGTTGGATAACGCGTTGGGATTACCGTCTTTGGTTCAAAGCTATCTTAACCCTCTTCGCCATGCTTCGTCAATGCGTAATAACCAGGCATTTGCAGAGCCTGTGATTCAAGGTTTACTGAAGCATAATGACATATATGTAATGCAACAAAATGAGAGAAAAAAATATGTACATACATTTGGATGCTAGCTTATATATATGGACAATCGTGCAATCACGACCGCAAAAAGCAGTAATAGTCTGTGAATCAACCTGAATACAATAAGTTATATGAAACGGGTCGAAAAAACATCAAAAAAGTCAATAATTAATTACAAAAAAAGTAAGAGTTTAGTAGTATGGCATATCCATATAGTGTTTCCAACAAATATCATTCTTCAAAAACCAATCAATTTTTGTTTGCATTTTTCTCTGTGTTTGCAGCCACAATTTCATCGAACAATTCTTTAAACTTTGCCTCAGAATCTCCATAACAAAAATCAACGGCGGGCATATCTTCCATTTTCTTTTTCCATTCTAGAAGGCGTGGATATTTGTCAAAGTCCAGTTCAGGAAGATGAATTTCGATACCAGCAACGACAGCAAACGCGGAATAATCTAAACAATTTCACCATATTGTAACATGCTATCAACAATTCCCTGCAATTTGTTTACTCTGTTTCAGGGCACTTCAGATATTTGTGACGTTTTTCAACCAATATTTGTATCGTGTTTTAAATGCAAGAATTGTCTATTACCAATAAAAGAACACATTCGATAGTTTTTACGTTAAACTAATCCTGATTGAGAATATTATATTATATATTATAACAAAAAAATTAGTAATGTGCGCGTAGAATAATTATATAAAATGTTATATTTTGAAGTTGTGTGTTGGCTCCGATCTTGGGCTGGGCTCAAAATGAGTTGAGTTTAAAATACGACAAAAAGAGATGAAATTTACGAGTTAACATCAAACGTTCTGCGAGTGGGGAATGATTTATGACATATTTTCTATTTTATTCGATACATGAGATTATGCATAAATTTGTGTGTCTGGACCGAATTCTGATAGCATCTCTAATTGGGGCTCTAATCGAATTATATTAATCCGATTCGTACAATTCTGTAACACTCCCGTTTTTGATTCCCCAGGAGCTCCAGCCCAGTTTGGGATCAACTCCAACTGCTAAAAACAATTTTTAATTCATATTGCCTAAGAAATCCTTTTATATTTTGTCAGTATAAAATTATAAAAAAGAAATAATTCAAATTGCGAAATTTATACTGGTCTTCCAAATAATAAATTTAATAAATTAATCGTGCTGATAACAGCCATTTTACCTGCAACGGTAATATAATCTGAAGCCATATATTCTTGTTGTGTAAGTCTTCTTTCTAAACGATTATAGTTGTCTTCTAACGCAGGCCATCGTTCAGGAATTGGACCAGTTTCTCCACGATAAATAACTCCAAGGATATTCTAAAACAAAAACACACTATTGCATTCACAGCAACTATGAATTGCTGTTTGCATAGCGACCCCCTATTTTGAATATAATGAATGTCTTATAAAAAGAAAAGCGTGTAATATTCGAAAACTTACGGAATATTCTAAAAGATTTGTGAAGTACTGAAAATCTTGGAAGAGCGATTCGTTGACTTTGGACCGAGCTTTCAATTCGGTCGGATAAAGTTTCTTTTCCTTGTCATTTCCTTCATATTTTGAGCAAAGATAGCAGATGATAGCCCGACTGTAAAAAACGATTTATTTTCACAATAATAACCGTGATTTGAAACGAAAAATTGAAAGTTTTCCAGTTTAAACTATATTGTTTTTGCAAAAGGTTTACCTTGCCTGCAATAGGCTATTATTCATGTAATATTTCGTAGATCCACCCGGAATAAAAACATATACATGCAAATGAGTTGTATTAGCTGATATATTTTCATTGCAGATGTCTACAAGTTACGAATTTACGATAGAATTGACTGACAGTGATTTTTATCGTAGAATGTTAACACAGTAATACAGGCATGAAAACAACTTCATATATTAACGCTTACAAATTAATACTGCCACCTACCCAACAGGTCTTATGTCTTAATTCCTGCAATAAATACTTTGGTTTATTACATTAAGATATATACTGTATATATAATGAAATTTACCTTTCCCCCAAGTTAAAATTCCCATCAACAATATACGGTACTTTGCCTCCTGGGTTGATTGCTAGATATTCTGGACTTTTGTGATCCTTTTTGCCTATCAGATCAACAAATCTCTTTTCGTACGGGATTGCAAGGGCTTCTAATACTGACCATACAACTTTAGCCGGCCCGCTTGCGGGATGCCAATAAAACGTCAATACCATTTTGAATTGAGTCGCTGAAGCGTGCAGTTTTGTTCGTGAGAATTTGTGACCAGTCTGAAGAAACCGAGTCGGTTTTATATACAATACGGACAAAGACGTCATTCTCTTAATGACGCCATAGTATGATGGTCCTTGTCGCAATCGTTATTCAATGACATAACGAATGGCGTAATATTATTTTAGTGGGGAATACCAGATTTTTTTACAACATCGATGTCAAATACTTCGACGAGCAAATCCATCCCTTGTTAATTGCTATATATTTCGCTGCAATGTCGCAATAGAAAATCTACAGCCTCGCGTGTAAGCACAGAAGTATGATGATTGAATATTGTTATTCAAATAACAATTTTGTTTTTAAAAACTATTGAAATATATATAAGCATATATTTCACTAGAGAATATACTTATAATTGGTTTCGTGTTGAAAAAGTTCCTTAGATCAGGTCACGTGATCTCAA